GTCTACCAAGGACCCGGCCTAGCTCCACGGGGAAGGCTGGGTCCTTCGGAGGACCCGTCCTGCCGTTTTGGACACACCCCATGCTAACGCACATAGCGGTGCAGCAAGAAAAAATGTCCCCCGGGAAACAACAGTTCACTGGCGGCCGCGACGAAACGTTCCGCTATTTAAACCGGTATGTCCGGTATTCAAAAAATTCATATCATAACAAAAATAAAAACCGGTATTCGGTACAAAACGGTATACCGCCCAGCACTACGATAAGTCATTACGAACATGGCGACAATGGATGTAAACACATAGCATGTTGCTACCACGACACTAGCGCTCATCATCAGAGGAGACGTCGGCATCTTTTATTGAGGTTTTCCAGCGACAAATCCCTACTTGGGAACGACTACGTATGCTGCGTTTTTGGGAAATTGTAGTCGGTGAGTTTACTACTTTCTTGTACTACTTCTGTGATATTACTACTACTTCTATTTCCTGTTATCTTCTTTGTTGTTGTCTTTTTCACCAGTAGAAACAGCCGGTTGTTGATCACGTGACTCCCAAGATGCGAAAAAAGTGTTTCCATTGCAGTTTTGCGAAAAATACCAATTTTGATACGGCCGAAAAACCACCTCATCCTAGCGCAAAAACATTTTGACGAAAAACTATTTTCGAAATTGACGTGTTTCCATTGAGCAAATTTATTTTCGAAATTCTAATTTGCGCATTTTCATGGTCAATGGAAACGCAGCTACTGAGAGCTACTCTCCACAAATGGTGAAAACATGGAACAGTGGTGAACCTTCTCAGAAGTAGCTGGCCAACCAAAATTACACAAGAGCGCAGCGACGACTCATCCAAGAGGTCACAAAAGACTCCACAATAACATCCAAAGAACTGCGGGCCTCACTTGCCTCACTTAAGGTCAGCGTTCATGCCTCCACTGTAAAAGAGAAACTGGGCAAAAATGGATTGTGTGGCAGCGTTCCAAGAAGAAAACCACGACTGAGCAAGAAGAATGTCAAGGTTTATCTCAGTTTTGGCAGAAAACATCTTGATGATCCCAAGACTTTTGGGAGAATACTCTGTGGACTGACAAGACAAAGGTTGAACTTTCTGGGAGGTTTAAGTCACGTTACATCTGGAGTGGAAGTAATAACATTTCAGAAAAGGGACATCACAACAACAGTAAAATATGGTGGTGGTAGTTTGATGGTCTGGGGCTGTTTTGCAGCTTCAGGTCCTGGATGACTTGCTGTGGTAAATGAAACCATGAACTCTGCTGTGAAGGAGAATGTCCAGCCATCTGTTTGTGACCTCAAGCTGAAGCACACTTGGGTTCTGCAGCAGGGCAATGATCCAAAACACACCAGCAAGTCCACTTCTAAATGGGTTAAGAAAAAATAATTTAAGACTTTGGAATGGCCTAATCAAAGTCCTGACCTAAATTCGATTGTGATGTTGTGGCACGACATTAAAAAGGTCATGCTCAGAAACCCGCAAATGTGGCTGAATTTTAATTCTGCATAGATGAGTGGGCCAGGATTCCTCTGCATCACTGTAAAAGACTCATTGCCAGGTATCACAAATGCTTGATTGCAGTTGTTGCTGCCAAGGGTGGCCCAACCAGTTATTAGGTTTAGTGGGCACTTACTTTTTCACACAGGGCCATGTATGTTTCCTGTTAATAATACAGACTAGAGATCGACCGATACCGGTTTTTGAAGGCTGATACCGATTTTTTAAACATCCGTCTAACCGATATACCGATACGTGCAGCCGATATTTTTTGGCCAATTCTTGAAGCCGATACTGCCTTTTTCTTCCTCCATTAACATGATAAAAATAAGAATGATAACAAATGTTACACGTCGTAATTAAAAAAAACAACAAAAAACAAACAAACAAAAAAAACATTTATTAACTAAGCCTTGTCTGATGCAGGCTGTATTAAGTGCTACCACACAGGATTTCTTCTTTAAAAAAATTAAAAATAAATAAATTCATTATTTATTTTATCTAGTGCTAAATATTCTGTTCTTATTTGTATATTAATAAGAATTATATATATTTTTACATAAAATTACTATTTTTTAATATCCCAGCATTTTTGATGCAAAAACAGCAACAAGCCTAAATAAAACTGTCAGAGCAACACAGAGAAAAAGAAGAGACACACATACATCTTGCTATCTTTGTGAGGACTTCACACACACACAGCGCTCACAGCATCTCTGCCTCAGTCTGCTGCTCCCGTTTTTAACACCAGGCAAAAAACGCATTTAAAACAGCTGACGTTAACTTTAGATTACAGTTTGAAATGCACACCGAAGAGAACCAGCATCACCACTGCGGTCACAGCAAATGTGATGTGAGCAGCGTCTGGTTCACATGATGGTGGACGGCTGCGCTCGCTAAAACGTTCAGCGAGAAAAGACCGAAAGCTTTTTTATTTTAATCCAGCAGGGAGAACAATAGAGGTGTTTTTCTATGCCTCATGTGAGCAGCTCCAGCATTTTTAAAAAGAAAGACAACGCGGACACGCTGATTGCAGTGCGGTGCGAAAGTGAAAGTAAAACATGTCGCAGCGCTCCCGTCTGGAAAAGAAACTTAAACACAGCTGTTCTCTCTTCCCTCATATTCCGACACAGAGGGTAGAAACAGCTAAATTAGACAGTTAAAACACATTTACAGTTCATAACTCACCCTTGTTGTTGTTGTTAGCACTCTGTTTCACAACATTAGCTGCTGCGCTCTCCCCGGGGGAAGGGGCGGACACATGCGCTCGAGTGACCCAAAGAACGGATCGGCCGAACGGACAGTGTATCGGCCGATACCGATACAAGGAAAAAACGCAAATATCGGCCAAAAATATCAGCCGGCCGATGTATCGGTCGACCCCTAATAAAGACCTTCATTTATGAACTGCATTTTGTGTTAACTTGTTGTTTTTGTCGGATATTTAAATTAAATGTGTTTGGTGAGCAGAAACATTTAAGTGTGACAAACGTAAAAGAAAAAAAAAAATCAGGAAGTGAGCAAACACTTTTTCACACCACTGTATGTCTTCTTACGAAGTGCTCCAGTACTCACCCAAAACATCCAAAGAGCTCTGGTGGTTGGAGATGATAACATATGGACCTTCAGTCTGCAGATGTTCCCAGCCACTCACTTCAATTCGAAGACCCAGTAAGTACTTGACATGGATAACCATGAAACGGATGATCCTATAAAAGGACAAAATACAGTGCTACTGAGGTACAAGTTACTGTGTTGTAGGCACTGAGTAGTAGAAGTACTCCCTGTAGGCTGATGTCAGTATAGGCTTTAGTTCATGTAAACAAATAAGTAGGATGTATAATGTGAAGAGAGTAGGACCAAGGCCTGACCCCTGAGGAACCCCATAAGTGACTGTGTGAGTCTGACTTGGCTCCTATGATGGTAACATGTTCACTCCTGTTAGAAAGATAGGACCAGAACCAGTCAACAGCAGTACCATAAAGCCCAATAGTATGAGAGACAGTTTAGATGGATATTGTGATCAGTGGTATCAAATGCTAAGGACAAGTCAAAAGGATAAAGTGAGATGATGAACCTGCGTCTGCTGCCATTAACAGTTTCACTGGTGACCTGGATCAAAGCTGTTTCAGTGGTAATGTCTGATCTTGTGCCCAACAGTCAGGAGTTGAGAATATTTTAGAGTGCAACACAGAGTTGTAAAGTAACTAAGTACAAATACTTTGTTTCTGTACTTAAGTGGATTTTTTGGGTATCTGTACTTTACTTGAGAAAATATTTTTCAGACTACTTTTTACTTCTATTCCATTCATTTTCACACAATTATCTGTACTTTCTATTCACTACATTTTTTTAAAAAGGCAAAAGTTGTCATTTTTATTTAACTTTTGCTTGTTTTCATTCCAGCTTGTTATTGTAAAAAATAAATACACATTATCCCGTTCAGTATGTTGCTGCTGAATGGTGTTTCAACCCACCATACAGCATTTAAGAGTGGAGGTGTGACGTGTCCCTGTGTCATTTTTACCTGTCTGATTGTCTGATGTCCTCTCCTTTCAGCTGATTGGCTGGGAGGATAATAAAAGGAAATGAGCTCCACCTGACAGCGGAGCGTGCGGCCTGAGGGGAGAAGTTTGCTTGTTGGTCCTGCTCTCCAGCCTCGCCACCGCTCCACTTTTTTCCTCTTGTAGATACCTGGTTTTGGCCTGGGAGTTGCCAGCCCCTTCTTTTCCCGGTTTTTGGTTATAGGGTGAGACCCTGGACCGGAGGGCAAGGGGAGGTTGCCCGGATCAGACGGTCAACTGCTGGCTGGTTCGGGTTTCCTCCCTTTTTTTGTTTTGTTTTTTTGTCTTCCTTTGTTTTGTCCAAACAATAAAACTTGTGTTCTTTTTACAAACAACTTTGTGTCCGGACTTTATATGTTGTGAGTCCTGGGTATCCTAGACCCCGAGACCGTAACAACTATCCATATAAATTGTGCCTCCTAGATAGAGTGAATTTAACTGTGGTTGAATGAGAAGTATAAATATATAAAATTCTGATACTGTATTAGTTTGTACACAAACAAATCATGTCACACTCCAGCAGGACATAATCATTAAAATAAAAGGACTGTACTTAAGAAGTATTTGTATTTCATTTATTATATTATCGCATTTGGCCGCAGCCCTCAGATAGATTTTCATTTTGGAGAAAAGCTTTGTGCAGCCTTGAAATATGTATATAAACTGAAACAGCTGGACTAGTGCATCTTAAATTTAACATCAATTATTTTAATACAATCCAGTCATTTCTGCAGTTCTTGGGGAGGTCACCTCCTGATAAATGTCCTTACAGAAAATCTAACTGCTCATTTTAAATCAATACTTTTACTTTTAATACTTAAGTACAAAAATATCAGATACTTTGACTTTTACTCAAGTAATATTCCTAAAGGAGACTAACTTTTATCAAAGTAATTTTTTGGTAAAATACTTGTACTTTTACTCAAGTATCACTTTGTGGTACTTTATACAACATTGGTGCAACATTACATTTATTATGTGCCTAAATGAAATAGATGTATAAGACATTGATGTTCTGGAAAAAACAACATTTTATCAAACAGTACCAGTCTTTAAAAATGCTGGAGAAAACTGTGCAACATATAAAAATTATACATATATACTCTGAGTTTGTCAGCTCCAATACTGTATATCAAATTAATTTTAACAAGATTATATCATGTTAAAAGTCTGAAGAGATATTTAGTGTGTTAATCCTGTTTAATACATTATTTTTTTTCCTGTTTCTTGAGAATAGTATTAAAAAAATATTCAATGGTTATTTGAGGCCTGCACCACCAACCAGCTGAGGGAAATACAAATAAATTTTACTGAACCTTTATTTTCAGCTTGTTTTTTTTACATGCTTCAAAAAGTAGATGATAGATTCTCAGCTTCAGTTCTCAGATAGCTTAGGTTTTTTTTTTTTGGTCTTTAAAAATAAAATGCAGCTTTTAGATTCTCTGCTTTGACAGCTGGTGTTTGTTTGCTGCAGTGTGGTGCAGGGACAGACAGAGATTTCAAAATATCAGAATCTGAAGAAGTTCTGTGACGTTGAGTTTTTCTTGTAGCAACATGTCAAGTTATGTCCAAACAGTGCTTCTCTTACACCACCCACCAAACCCCCAGATTTAAAAGGAAATCTCAAACAGATGTTTACATTAAGGAGTTAAACTTTTAGTTAGAACACTTAAACTATGCCCTTTGAATAGATGATTATGCTAACGGTTATAGTCTAAGACTTAGACTCATGTAATGAACTTTCTGCTTTGACAAGAACTGCACACTTGTAAGAACAACAACAAAAAACAACTTAAACATTTCTTTTAGATATATTATTTAGACATACAGTTAACATCAGTTAAAACCAGATTTAAGTTTTAAAACCGTTTATGAAATAGGAACTCAGAAATTATATCCACAAATCTTTAATATCTTGAGGAGGGGAACGCTTCAGTAAAATCATCAGTCATCTACAGAAGTGTTTCCCAAAGTTGGGGTCGGGACCCAAAGTGGGGTCCCGAAACATCAAGGTGGGGTCCTGAAAAGGTTTTCAGAATTAGTTACATTTTTGTCTTCGTTGTTACAAAGGAGTGAGTTTAGTGTATTTAAAATGGATAAATGTTGTTTAAAAATATTGTTACTATGCCCATGTTTACTTGACCTGATACAAATGTTTATCATCCAAAAATAGTTGGGGGCACAGGTCTCTGCTACTGTTATTTTGTGGGTCAAAAGCTGAAAAGTTTGGGAACCACTGCACTTTGGTTCCCAAAGTTGGGTTTGGAACCCAATTATGGGT